TAGTCTATAGTCTAGTCTATAGTCTAGTCTATAGTCTAGTCTATAGTCTAGTCTATAGTCTAGTCTATAGTCTAGTCTATAGTCTAGTCTATAGTCTAGTCTATAGTCTAGTCTATAGTCTAGTCTATAGTCTAGTCTATAGTCTAGTCTATAGTCTAGTCTATAGTCTAGTCTATAGTCTAGTCTATAGTCTAGTCTATAGTCTAGTCTATAGTCTAGTCTATAGTCTAGTCTATAGTCTAGTCTATAGTCTAGTCTATAGTCTAGTCTATAGTCTAGTCTATAGTCTAGTCTATAGTCTAGTCTATAGTCTAGTCTATAGTCTAGTCTATAGTCTAGTCTATAGTCTAGTCTAGTCTAGTCTATAGTCTAGTCTATAGTCTATAGTCTAGTCTATAGTCTAGTCTATAGTCTAGTCTATAGCCTAGTCTATAGTCTAGTCTTAAGTCTAGTCTATAGTCTAGTCTAGAGTCTAGTCTATAGTCTAGTGTATAGTCTAGTCTAGAGTCTAGTCTAGAGTCTAGTCTATAGTCTAGTCTATAGTCTAGTCTATAGTCTAGTCTATAGTCTAGTCTATAGTCTAGTCTATAGTCTAGGTCTATAGTCTAGTCTATAGTCTAGTCTATAGTCTAGTCTATAGTCTAGTCTATAGTCTAGTCTATAGTCTAGTCTATAGTCTAGTCTATAGTCTAGTCTATAGTCTAGTCTATAGTCTAGTCTATAGTCTAGTCTATAGTCTAGTCTATAGTCTAGTCTATAGTCTAGTCTATAGTCTAGTCTATAGTCTAGTCTATAGTCTAGTCTATAGTCTAGTCTATAGTCTAGTCTATAGTCTAGTCTAGTCTAGTCTATAGTCTAGTCTATAGTCTAGTCTATAGTCTAGTCTATAGTCTAGTCTATAGTCTAGTCTATAGTCTAGTCTATAGTCTAGTCTATAGTCTAGTCTATATCTAGTCTTAGTCTATAGTCTAGTCTATAGTCTAGTCTATTGTCTAGTCTATAGTCTAGTCTATAGTCTAGTCTATAGTCTAGTCTATAGTCTAGTCTATAGTCTAGTCTATAGTCTAGTCTATAGTCTAGTCTATAGTCTAGTCTAATCTAGTCTAGTCTAGTCTATAGTCTAGTCTAGTCTAGTCTAGTCTGGTCTATAGGCTAGTCTAGTCTATATTCTAGTCTAGTATATAGTCTAGTCTGGTCTGGTCTGGTCTGGTCTAGTCTATAGTGTAGTCTATAGTCTAGTCTATAGTTTAGTCTATAGTCTAGTCTATTCTGTTATGTAATCTCCATATTCCATAATCTCGCTTTAAAAAAAATAACCGTTACTTATTTAAAAGTTTTTCAATCAGAATGATAAATAAGCATTCACAGTTACTTAGACATTTTTGGGATTGCTATAAAATATTTTCAAAGCATATGTTTAGGCGGAAATATCATAGGCGTTTGTTATATTTGAAATCTAATCTTATTAAAACCAGTTTTTATATAGAAAAAGTTTGTAGTAAATCATTATTAATTTCAATAGTCGTTTTGGCATAAGACAGTACTGCTTTATTATTACTTAATAAAACTTTTATTATTTTATTGCCAAAATTTCATATTATTAAATTTTTACGATGTGTCGTCATTCTTTCCCGTACCCAAAACTTCAATATGTTTTGTGGGTTTTCTGATTATTTTTGTTTAAAACCAGAAAGTCAAGAAATTCGTTACATTATTTTAAGGAAATTTGCTAATACATAGAAGTTTTCATTGATTAATGCACAATAGTTCTTAAGTAACTCTCCCCCACTGTTACACCCTCTCTTTATCAATTGCATTTTAATCCTATTTGACATTTCCTTTCATTCAATCAATCATTCATAAGCGCACTTTCTTCAGTCAACAAGTAATTTTCACGGCAAACACATTAAATTCCGAATGCGTCTTATTAAATTAACAAAAATCCCAGTAAATACTATTCTAATTTTAATAAAAAGTTTATAAAAATGTAATTTAATATTTAAAGAATATTGTGCAAGTTTTTGTTTAATGAAAATTGTTGTTAAAATGTGTTAAAATCGAGTGTAAAGTTAAAATTTTTATTACACATGTCACACAAGTTTAAATGGCGTTCCTTTCGTGTTTGTAAAAAAGAAATTAAGTAGAGAATTGTGTTGTTGTTGTTATAAATGCCGGTCAAGTGTTTTTGTAATTGCCGATTGATTTCTCGTTTCGTTTGTTTATTTATTTTTTACTTTTTTTGGGTGTTTAGTTGAGGAAGGCAATGGTTAAGCGAGCAATTGTGTAAAAATGTAAATAAATAAGAAGTGTGTTGCTAATAAAGCGCTTAAATAAATCGCATAAAAAATTGCATGGAAATAAAATATGTATGCGGTTTTACATTAAAAAATAAAATAAATACATGCAAATGGCCTGTTTTTGTAAATTAGAGTTTATAAGTGTTATATTTTGATTTTTGGGAATTAAAATGAGTTGCGGAACAAGGATTAAAAATAATATCTAGAAACAAAACTAAAATTGGGTAAGTTATACTTATTATTTTCTTATTTTCTTTTAAAATTTGGAAAGGGAAAATTCCGAAGTTTTTAATATCATATGTATGTACCAAAAGTACCAAAATGGTCACTTTTATAAATTCGCATTTACTCAGGACACTGATCTTAATTTCATTGTTTAAGGTCTATGGTATTATAAATAATATTAATTATAAATAAGTATTCCCATTTAATCAGGATTCTGAACGTTTAATTTTATGTCTGTGATGTTCAATATTAAAAACAATCAAAAAGGAGCCATAATGAAAACTTACTAAAGCATTTTTTAAAAAATTATCATTTATTCAGGACTGTGCATGTTTAATTTCGCGTTTCAAGTTCAATTTTATAGAAAATCATTAAGTACTTTTTAAAGAACGAAGAAATACCAAAAAGTCCCCACTTATAGATTCTCATTTATTTAATTGTATCATTCAGGATACAATTTTATAGAACACTAAAGTTCTAAGTACTAAAGTACCAACAATCTTTGATGACAGTATTATAGAACATTTTAAAGGTACCTTTCTTAGAAAGAAAAATGACCAATAAGATCCTTTTAATAGATTTTTTTCTATGTTTACTAGTTTAAAAGATACGTGGGATGCAGAAAAGGTAACGTTACGAAAAGTACCAAAAATCCTTTCCCATAGATTTCCATGCAATCATGACTCGAAGAATGGAAAAAAATAAAAAAACCTTATATAATTTTTGTTTATGTTCATTTGTTTAAAAAGATTCGTTAGTTGCATAAAAAGTACTAAAATATAGTTTTTACCCGTTTAAACCGTACTTCAAAAAAGTACCGGACAATTGTTCACAGTTTATGTGCGTAAGACAATATTAGGAGAACTCTAGCTGTTGTCATTTTCCAGATATGCGGATTTTGTTATTTGATTAATATTGAAGATGCCACGCCCATTAACCCGCCTATTTTTTCCACAATAAGTTTATATCAATGTCAAAGTTCTCAGTACAAAGTTTCTCATGTTTACGACTTTTAATACGTATTTTGTATATGGTTGAGATACTTAGATTAACTACAGATAAATTTTTCTGGCGCAAAATCAGATACGGTCAGAGAAACTGATCTGTTGCTTACTTATAGTAGAGAAAGGAGAACTCTAGCTGTTGTAATTTTCTAGATATGCGGATTTTGTTATTAGATTAATATGTAAGATGCCACGCCCATTAACCCACCTATTTTTTCCACAATAAGTTTATATCAATGTCAAAGTTCTCAGTACAAAGTATGGGGACTCCAGCTATAAAAAGTTTCTCATGTTTACGACTTTTAATACGTATTTTGTATATGGTTGAGATACTTAGATAAATTAGAGATCAATTTTTCTGGCCCAAAATCATATGCGGCCAGAGAAATTGATCTGTTGCTTACTTATAGTAGAGGGTTCTGACTTTAGCTCTGTTCTCTTTTGTTTCCTAGTATTTATGACTAAGTACGAGATTTTCGGGAAATTTGTATCTCTTTTCGGGAGGTAAAGTGTTTTATAGAGAGTTTTGCATTGATCGAAACAAATATATACTTAGTGTCTAAATAGTGGCGGCATTTCTGGGCCTTATTTGGCCAAAATTCGCTTCAAAGCTACAATCGGTATAGGTTCCCGGGCCAGATTTCAGCAACTTATAATAGAATGAACCCTTTCGGATTCGCCAAATACAAGGTATTACCTTAGCGCCAAGGATATTTGACTTTGTTGTAGCGCCAGCTGGTTGTCCTGGCTTTACATACGATCTCTACCTCGGGTTAACGTAATGGATCCATTTTCCATTGCAAGTAACGATCCGTTGCAAAAATTATTTCCTTTAATAGTGTTTCTTTTTCTTTCAAGATCTCCCGTCTTTAAGTAACCAATTTCAGTGAAACTCGACATAAGTAACCAAGATCCATGTAGCAAATTTCAGGAGGATCTGGCCATAAGACATCCAACATTTATAGACCAAACCACTTATTCAAAAATTAAGATAAAAATAGACAAAAATCAAGTTAGATAAAACTACAACTTTAAATGTTGTAGAGTACGGTTCACATTGAAGGGGCTATTTCGTAAATTAGTGTGACGTTTATAGAAATATCGATATACATATGTTTAAGCTTTCCTTTCTTATGAGGAACTACTCCTTTAAGAAAAACAAATCTAAATTTGTGTTAAAAGTTTTTTTAAAATTTTCAGGTGCATTTTTTATTATTTATTACAAATGTGTTTTTGTTGTTTATAAAATATATTCAAAATTTATATACAAAATATACCTATATTAGGTATAACTACTACATATTCTTAACTATTTACAATAGTTATTAAACATTTAATGATATAAATTATTTTAGTAGATAACAGGCAAAAACTTCGCTAAAAGTCTAAACTTTAGAATGAATTTTTAAGATATAAAGCTTATTTCGAGATCTCCACCTGTTACCCAAGTAAATATTAAGCACTAATGAAATGGTTACTTATTTTTTAAAATGTTTTCTTACATTAAGTTCTTTTTTTCGACTTAAAACTATAACTTAATGGTAAAAAAATCACAGTCCATAATATTTTGTATTAAATTTACAAATTAAAATTAGTAAAAATCATTTTCAGGTCTATAATACATATTAATATTCTTTTTCATTGATCAATAAAGATCCATGGAGGCCATATTTTCGTGTAATATCATTTGGTGGACATCATTGAATACCTTACGTATACAACTGGTATCGGTGGCCACGGTAAAATGATAATAACACTCACGTTTCGAGTTATGCATGTGATTGCGGGAGGGACGCTTCACCGGTTCTTGGGTTATATCGACAAGTTTTTGTTTTATAAACTTTTTCGTCCAATCACATTCATCAAAATAACTCTCAGCCTGAGGACTGTTGCGAAATTGTTCAAATTCAGGGAAATAATCGACAATATGTTTACCGGCTCTTATTTTACGTTCCATGATATCTTGTTTATTCAGAAACACTATAAGACCGGCCGAGGCCAAAAAACGATTTTGCCAAACACCTCTAAAGAGATTTAAAGCCTCTTGCAAACGATTTTGTGTGGGATCTTCTCTCAGTGTTTGATCAAAATCACTGCAGGAGATTAGAAAGAGAACAGCTTGAATACCCTCAAATACTTGTATCCATTTATTGCGTTGATCACGTTGACCGCCAACATCGTACATATGAAAGATTTGCTCACCGCCACCCATGTGTTTGGGAATCTCTACGCGAAATGATATATTATGGATGCCCGTAGTGATTTTACGACTGTGTAAAATATCCTCCGTCGAAGGGATATAATGAAAGTCTGAGATGCGATCAAAGTTATCCAAAAAACTAAAAGTTGAAATAGTAAATATAAAAATTAATTTTTGTTTTTTTTTATTGCTAAAGAAGAAAATACTTACTATTTGGTACTATCGGATAAAGGAAATTCATTCGAGCGTTCAAAACATGTACGTATGCCAACATCATTCCATAATGTCATAACATGATCACAATATTCCTACAAATATACAAACAAATTAATGGTTTTAATTAATGAATAACATTAAAACAAATCATAATCTTAAACAACAACGACAACAACTACTCTGAAATATAAATAACGTATTTTCCCCAAAAATATATATACAAAAAAAAATTCTGCTATGTCGTACGTTTTCAGTACCGCATTATAATCTTATCACTTGTCGTATATCATAACGTCAATATCGTTGACGATTTCTTTTAAGTTATATATCAAAATGAGTCAAATGTGGTTCTAAAATTATTAAATGTTTACTTGTAATTCGTTTTAGTTTTCTAGGGGAGGGGGTTTTCTAGTTTACGCGGTTGTGTTGTGTGCGAAAAAAAGATTTATTATAAATTATAGGCTGTAATACCAATTGGGTATGTAAAGTCCAATATTGATTTGGACTTTACATTCTATAAATTATGAATGTTATGTGTAAGGTTATAATATTTTATTGAGTGAAATCAATTGGATTATAATGGGAAATTCCCTGTTTAATTAACATTTTATCATTAGAACAATGTGGGAAGAGACCATACTGGTTGAAAACTTATCGTGATTCATGAGGATCACTATAAAATTGCATAAGATCGGATAACCAAGTATTATTTAAGGGAGCTATTGTATCTATTTAAATGGATGTGTCATTTAGACCGGCTCTTATTTGGGATTTGTAAGAGATTTTGAAACATGATCATTGCATCATAAAAGTCGTGAGTCTTCATAAGCAATAAACTTGGTACTTCAATAGCAAAAAGTGTCAGCGAGATCGGATCATTTGCCTACTTCAGATTTCTTCCTTGGCCATTTTGGGAGTTTCGTTTCTATGTAAACTACTCATAGAGTCTGAAGATCTTGCAAGATCGAAAATTTAGCAAAAGCAGTTAAGTAAGAGAAGAAGGTGGAGTTCTACTATTTATGCGAAATAAAACCACCCGACATTGGCAAGGCAATCGGCTATTTCATGTTTTAACAGTCAGATCAGTTAGTGATCGTGTTTTATTTCAAACATTCTCTAGAAGAAAGAGAACAAACATAGAACAATTCAACATAAAATCTGAAGAAGGAAACTGTCATAAGTAGATTTGAATGAAATCGAAGGTCCCTGTTTAGCCATTTGATCACAAGTGGAGAGTCTACATAAGCAATAGACTTAGTTAGTTAGTTTGAAAGGAGGATGTATATACATCAAATCCGAAGAAATACACCAGTGCCTCAAGTGGGAATCGAACCCACCACCTCCGGTCTACCAGACTAGAACACTAACCACTAACCTACCGGAGGCAACAGCAATAAACTTAGTTCTACAACGCAAAGAGTATCAAGATCGGCTCATTTGTTTGCTTCAAACTTCTTTCTTGGGAAAAAGGAATAATAAAGGTCTCAAAATACCACGATTTGCGCGTAATAGAACTATCAGATTGTGCTCAGATGATCGTCAGATGAATTGGTGATTTGGAAAGTAGTCAAAAAGATCAAACATTCTCTGAAAGAAAGAGAACTAACACAAAACATAAAATATAAATATTCCCCTGAAAAGAAGGAAACTTCCATAAGTATAAGTCCGAAAAGCTCTCGAGAAGAGTCTGAATATCTAGCAGGAACGAAAATGTAAGAAAAGCTGATCAAATGATCATTAAACTAAGCTTCACCGATATCATCTGCCATTAAATACATATTTGGAAAACAAATAGATAGCAGAGTATGAAAATAAAAGTTCCCTTTGCGGATGGAAGAAGGAAATATAGGCATAAAAGGAGGAATCTATTGTCAGTACGATCGGTTCTTTTATGTGGATGTAAACCGCATATATAGAGTTCAGACACACTGCACACTATTAAGGCGATTAACAACACGATCGGATCTCTTATGTAGATGTAAACCCATATGCGAAGTATAGAGAGATCTCAATCTAACGATCGAGTCTTACTCAGATTATGTTTACTCCATATTGATATCAGTTCTTTCATACGGTTGTAAGTTTCTATACGGAATTCAGACATGCAAATCATTAACAATGGATAAGGCCCAATCTTTGTCATCCACTAAGCAAATCTTTGTCAACACGATCAGTTCCTTAACGTAGATGTAAACCCATATGCGAAATTCAGATATATAGAGAGATTACTCGTAACATTCAGTCAATGATCAGTTATGTCACGTGATGTTTTCTCGAAATCCATATTGATGAGATCACACACACGGTTAGAAAAGGATAAAATTGCTATTTAGATCATCAGATCATTTCGTGATCAATTCTTATTTGCTCTCCATGCTTTTAGGATGACAGAAATTAAACCGATCTTGCAGTAACTGGAGGCGAATAGCAAGTGCCAAAATACCTAAGTCGAGAGTGAGAAAATGATCGACACTTATTAAGCTTATAAGTTTATAGATCACTAGAATGGTAGAAAAGGGGATCACAGTTGAAGGATTACTAAAAATTGCTTATATTATATGTCGCAAATCGGTTACTATTCTAAATCCTTTGATTAAGTATTGCATAAACAAATGCAGCATTATAATTGGAAAAACATCAATTATACTTCAAACTGGTGTACCCAAAAAGATGTCTAACGATTAACTTATCACTAAATAACTAATGATTAAAAATATAAATGATAATGTATATAAGTTCATTAAACCTTTAGTGAAAAAAAAGAAACACTCGAAACCTATAAAGGTTACGGAATTGAATTAAACCTAAATACAACTACACTGATTTAAACACATCAAACAGTTTCATCAGCCGATGGACGAAAGAATTATCGGATGATGTTAACATGTTGTAAGTTTATCATTTAAATCTAAATGACTAATAACACTTATCTAGACACATTTAATTTTTCTTTATCTAATTATAAATAATAATATTTTGCGGTGTGGAAAATCTTTGCTAAATTTCAGTCAAGTGTTGAAATGATAATTCTAGATGTTAATCATTTAAATGTGTATCTATATTACAAGGGTTTCATCGGGGGGCCGGAATGTGAGTTTGGATGTAGTTATTGGTATTTTAATTTAACAATTTCCTAAGTGCCTTTATGATATTTGTCTAAAGATCTTAATAAAAAATATTTTAAGTGTTTAAAAATTAAGATTTTCAAAAATTGATTATTCTAAATGACGCAAATGAGGCAGGCAAGTGTCAACTTTTTTTTTGCACAGCTTTTAATACTTTAAATTTAATATTTACTTTTTATTTTCGTTTTATTTAAACACAAGTTTTTCTGTTGTTTATTATTTAAACTTCTTGGTTTATTGATATTTTTGTTTTTTTAATAAACAACAAATAACAAATAATAATATTAACGAAAGAAGAAACACTTGTGGATAAGAAAAATAAAGTTATAATATCTTTAACTAAATGTTTTAATGAAAATTATATTAAAAAAATCTTGATTTTTTCAGACTAGAAACTGTTTATTAAATCCTTTAGATAATTTCAAAAAAATTGTGGAAAGTTTTGTTAATTTGTTTAAATATTTAATATTAAAACTTATGTCTAATATTAATATTTGTTTTATTTCTATTAATATAAGTTTATTTATTGTTTTATTAATATTATTTTTTAAATGAAAATTTAACAAAAAAACCAGTTGTTAAAATAAAAGCACTAAATGGCGCTTAAAATTAAGCATTTTCAAATAAAGCCACCATTTTAATTTATATTACAATGGCTGCATATCCGTTTGGTTTTAGTCTAGACAACAACCTCTTATTGCAGTGCAATAGCCACATGTTATAATCAAATATTGCAACCTTGCTATTATTTATTATATTTAATACTATTTGCAAACAAACCAAAAACAAAACAAAAAACTGTTAAGCGAAAAATAAACTAAATAATAGTATTAAAAAATACTATAAGTTGTAAAGTGAAACCCCTTGAATTTACTACAATTAACATTTGTTTAACACATGAACCAATTGAAAATACGCAGATATATATTTACACACTTCAAATATAAATTTAGCAAAAAAAGAATACAATGACTACAAAATTTATAGTTGTTTAAAGATTAAATACAGTTTCCCTTATAATAGGTAATAATAATGTGTTTAAAAAGTGATCATGCAAAACTTACCTCATTCATATATTCAGGCGCCGTTTCGCCCATTGTTAAGATATAGGCTGCACTGTGTTTACTAGCACAACTTTGATATTCTAGACCCAATATTGACATATATTGGACTAGTTGGTATATAGATTCATGGATATTTTGATAGATTTCGGGTATCTTATCACGACGTTCACTGGAAGAAGGGAATAGAAAAGATAGAGAGTTTTAGCCAGAACTTACAACAAAATTGTTTTCAAGTTGGAAAATATTGGATTAATAAAAGCTTTCGGACAACTTTAAACATGATCAAGATCTAAATATTACTTTGAGAGAGTGAACTAATCTGTTGATTGGTTCCTAGGTGATAGACTATCATCTTAAATTTAAAAACTTCCTTGATGGAAAGAAACTAATAAAGAACCACTTTCTTGCAGGATTAAGATCGAAATTACAAATCGAGAGATTATTCGATTATTAGTTTCCACGGAACAGTGTTGACATCTTTAGATTTCAAGAAACAACCGTAAATATAAGAAAATCTTGGAACTGATAAAGGAACCGACACAGAACTAGCCTGTTGATGGGTTTTTTGGGAGATAGAGATCAACAAATAACAGAAAACTTAAAACAAAATCGATATTATTCCAAAAGAAAGGGAATTATGGATATATGAGTTTCTAAGGAACTGAAAATCTATTAAAAAAGGACCTTAATAGGAAACTAGCTCAACTCAACTTTAGAGCATGGAAATAAACCGAAACAGAACTAGTTTGGTTCTACGGAACAAGGATGGAATCTTAAGATTCCAAGAAACAAAGCAAAATATTGAGGGAGGCGAACTGTCATAGAATTTTTCTGTTGATTGGTTTCTAGGGGATGGATATCGGAACTCTAGATATCAACAAACAAACCCTAACTGAATAGAAGATCTAAGTTATCATCAGAAGTAAGGACAACTGATACATAACTTGTCCATAAATAGGTTCCTATTCTATTGATTGGTTCCTAGGGGTTAGAGATCGGAACTTTAGATATCAACTCAAGATAGAGATCGAAACTTTAAAGCACACACAGAACTAGTTCGGTTCCATGGAACAAAACATAGAACTATTCTGTTGATTGGTTCCTAGGATATAGAGATCTAAACTTTAGATATCAACAAACAAACCCTAACTAGAAAGAAGATCTAAGTTATCTTCAGAAGGAAGGGGAACTGATACATAACTTGTCCATGAATAGGTTCCTATTCTGTTGATTCGTATAGATATCGGATTAGATATCAACAAACAAACCATAACTTGGATTGAGATCTAAGTCGTCATCAGAAGGAAGGGCAACTGATGCATAACTTGTACATGAATAGGTTCCTGAAAGAATAGAGATCGAAACTTTGGAAAACAATTGCAAATTTAAAAGCCATTTTTAATGTTTTCTTGATGTTATGGAATCTGAATAGAGAACGAAGTGGGAACTTTGAAGCATTAAAGGCAACTGACACAAAACTAATTATTTCGGACATCAGATACTATATGTTTCCTTGATGGTAAGGAAACTAATACAAAACTCATCCGGGGATGGACTCTATATAGACGTAGATCTAATTAGAAGAATTTGACACAGAACTAGTTCGGCCATTGGTTTCCAAGCTATAGAATTGAAATCTGTAGATATCATGATATAACCGCTAATTTATGATATCTGATTACTTATTTCGTTTTAAATGATCCCTAGTTGGAAAGGAATCAATACAGAACTAATCTAGTGATGGACTGTTAAAACAGAGAGATTTTAAAACAGGATTGAAATCTTTAGATATCAAGGAAGGAAACACTTGATAGTTTTCTAGGAACTTTAAATATTCCCTTGGTGCGGAGGAACTAATACAGAACTAGTGCTGGGATGGTTTCTTAGGAGATAGAGATCGAAACTTTAAAACATTTCCCTTAAGAAAGGTAACTGAGAAAGAACCTAAGATGGAATACTACAAAGTTAAGTGATTCTAGGAGAAAATACTAATTGAACATGCCGGAATTTTAGACATCAAGAAATAACCGCTTACTTAGAGATTATAGGAGGATAACTGTACTTCGAACCAAACTAGTCCGGTGATGGATTCTTAAGATATAGAGATCGAAACTTTAAACTACCTAGAAAAGAAACAAGACAAAACTAGTCCCGTGCTGGATTCTTAAGATATAGAGATCGAAACTTTAAAGTAACTAGATTTTAGAGAGTGAAAGTATTCGAGTGGGAAAACACTACTTGAATACGCCTTCAAAACAACTAATTTACGTTTCTAACAGCTCTTGCGGATAATTTTTCATTAACGCATCTTTAATGCTTTAATACTTACTCATCGGAAAAGCCATTGATGTGTAAAATGCGCATTTGTTTAATAATAGTAGTTTTGCCAGATTCTGCTGTGCCCAATAGTAAAATTTTTACCGCTTCACGAAAATTTTTCTGCATATCACTGCATTTACGTTCCACTTCTTTGGAAGAGGCTTTCAAATCATCTGGATGAGTTTTCGAGTGCCTCAGACACCGTAACATTCTGAAAAGAATAAAGAGAAAATAAGATTTAAAATAACGAATTATATAAAGACTAAGGTTTCCTAATGGAAAGCAGGATCGAGCGTTAAAGATCGGTAGAAAATTTAGGTGAAATTGACAAATTTGAGACTATTTCTAGGACTATTTAGAAGATCCAATGCAAAAAGTAATAAAAATTTTGATTTGTTGGATCCAACATCGACATCTAGAAAAATGGCAAATTATCGGAGTTCCTCTTCAAATTAGCCTAAGTGTACTTAGGTTATTTATTTATATTATTAAGCTATTTAAGCCTTAACTCGTGCCTATTATGAAATCCTCAAGTATTTGTTTATAACAACAAAATCGCCCAATTTCACACATTCTGCTAACAACCAAGAAATTGTATTTCTTTGTATTTATCTACACAAGAATCTAAAATATTTAAACAAATATTTATTATTGTTAATTTTCAAGTTAACTTTTTTTATAACCAGAATTACTGGAAAAATAACAAAATATTTTAGCTAAAAATAACTTCGAAATACTTTCGAATATTATGAAATTCTTAAATACTACGAAGTTTTATTTATCTATCTATATAAAAGATATTAAATTGCCAATTAATAGCTTTTAGTAATACCGTTAATTATTGCTATTTAATGACAATTGTCGTCGGTACAATACAATAAACACTTTTTTTACAATTCAAAGAAATATATCTCGATATCTTATCATTTTCATTCATATACTAGTCTTATTTTCTAATTATTTTCTGTTGTTCGAAAAAAAAATTTGAAATGCCTAAAAACAAGATCTTTTAAAAGGTACTTTTTTTTGCCAAAAATTATATATTTTTTATAATTTATCTACAGACATTTGTATTTCGGTTGCAACAATGTCTGGGAAATAGTTTCAAAATAAATAATAGTTTATTTTTAAAATTTTGTGATGTTAGCAAATTTCTAATTAAACTACTACTTCTTTAAGCAACTAAGCTTAGAAAAAAGTAGCAAATTTAACAACCTTGCAAACACAAAAGTTTAAAATTGTAAACATGACGTTTTACTTACTCCATTTTGTTTGATTCTTCCTATTTGTTTTGAAATTCTGTTTTGTTATTGTTTTCAAAATGTACAAATTGTTAATTGATCTTTATTTTTAATGGTTGTTTTAAATTTTAATTGTTTATTTTTTTTGTTGTGTAGGTGTTAGTATCGAAAAGCATTTTTTTGGGAAAAAACATATGCAATAAAAATTTGTAAATATTTCAAAGGGTAGTAATTAAATTAATTGTTTTATTTTGTTTTTACTGAAAAACGTTAAAATAATAAATAAGAGTTGTTGTGTGTATAAACAAAAATGTGTTGTTGTTCCATCAAAATAATTGTTTTAAGCCATTTTGCAAAATTTAAAAGGAAAATAATATTTATTTTCTTTTTTAAATTTGTGTTAAATACACCTTGAGTACTATGAAAAGAGAGGAATGAAGGTAATTTTAAGAATTAAGGCACCATTAGTCAACGACCTAGTAATCATAGGAAAGTCTAAGTATACAAGTTTGTTTATTGATCTTTCAGTAATCGTTTAACATTGAAACAGTTGTAAAGTGGGGTTTTTATTGCCACATTTTCTTAACAGTTTTGAGGCGATAAAAGTGGATATTTCTCTGAAAAGCGCTCTTTGATCATTTCATGGCGATCGCTATGAGGAGGTTCTCATAATGGTGTTAAATATATGATATTCTTTGACTTTGATTGAAAGTCTTAGTTCAGTTGTAGTTCTAGTTCCGTCCTAGATCAGTTCTAGTTTAGTTCCAGTTCAGTTCTAGTTCAGTCCTAGTTCAGTTCTAGTTCAGTTCTAGTTCAGTTCTAGTTCAGTTCTAGTTCAGTTCTAGTTCAGTTCTAATTCAGTTCTAGTTCAGTTGTAGTTCAGTTCTAGTTCAGTTCTAGTTCAGTTCTAGTTCAGTTCTAGTTCAGTTCTAGTTCAGTTCTAGTTCAGTTCTAGTTCAGTTCTAGTTCAGTTCTAGTTCAGTTCTAGTTCAGTTCTAGTTCAGTTCTAGTTCAGTTCTAGTTCAGTTCTAGTTCAGTTCTAGTTCAGTTCTAGTTCAGTTCTAGTTCAGTTCTAGTTCAGTTCTAGTTCAGTTCTAGTTCAGTTCTAGTTCAGTTCTAGTTCAGTTCTAGTTCAGTTCTAGTTCAGTTCTAGTTCAGTTCTAGTTCAGTTCTAGTTCAGTTCTAGTTCAGTTCTAGTTCAGTTCTAGTTCAGTTCTAGTTCAGTTCTAGTTCAGTTCTAGTTCAGTTCTAGTTCAATTCTGTTCTAGTTCAGTTCTGTTCTGGTTCAGTTCAGTTCTGTTCTAGTTCAGTTCTGTTCTAGTTCAGTTCTGTTCTAGTTCAGTTCAGTTCTAGTTCAGTTCTAGTTCAGTTCTAGTTCAGTTCTAGTTCAGTTCTAGTTCAGTTCTAGTTCAGTTCTAGTTCAGTTCTAGTTCAGTTCTAGTTCAGTTCTAGTTCAGTTCTAGTTCAGTTCTAGTTCAGTTCTAGTTCAGTTCTAGTTCAGTTCTAGTTCAGTTCTAGTTCAGTTCTAGTTCAGTTCTAGTTCAGTTCTAGTTCAGTTCTAGTTCAGTTCTAGTTCAGTTCTAGTTCAGTTCTAGTTCAGTTCTAGTTCAGTTCTAGTTCCGTTCTAGTTCAGTTCTAGTTCAGCTCTAGATCTAGTTGTATTTCAGTTCTAGTTCATGAACTTTTTAGTAAAAAGTTCCGTCGCAGAATGCCTAATGGTTTTAAAACTAATATTAGACACCCCAAAGAGTCGGTCATTGGTCTAGTTCCTTGAATTTGTCTTCCCTCTTGGAGTATTATTTGTAGACATATTATTGTTTTTATAATGTATTGGTCAAGAGTTATTGTACTGTAAATCACTGCTAATCAATAATATTTTTCAAAAATCATGAACAAATTCTAAAAAAAATGTTAAGTATTTATTTACTTCCAAAAATATGTTTATGATTTTATTTTAAAAAAAATATTTGTATAATAAATTTAAAAATAAAGCATGAACGGCATATTAGCCTCTAAAAAATAGTTTTAAAATATATACAAAATTTGTTGACATTATAAAATTTAAGATAATACATTGATTTAAACTAGACGATAACAGCTTATTAGCATAATTATTAAGTATTAAGGAAAATTTCCTTATATTTAAATATTTTTTAATTTACAACTAAATTTGTTAACATTGCTGTAATTTATAAGTACAGCCTAAGCCCTCGCAATGTTTAAAGATAATACATTTATTTTGTGTATATTATGCATTAGTTTAAAGTCATTTTGAAGCAAAAATTGCTATCTTGTTTTTTTTTATTGATGATTGGTGGTCAAGTGTGATTTTTATTATCTACACATTGTTTTTTTTTGTTTTATGAAAATAAATATATTTTATTCACGTTTTCAAACCAATTTAAAATGATACGATTTGCGTGCAATAATTTTGTTTTTGGCACTGATTTCTTAACAGGCAAAATCTGAATAGATAATTTTATAAAGTGTTATAAATTTCCGGTTTAAAAAAAAACTGACTAGAATGGAAATTTTTTTTTAACTAATATAACAAAGAAAATTAGAAAAAAACATAAGAAATTTTGAAAATCTTATTTTTTTTAAAGAAAAGAAAGAATTTTATCTTTAAAAATATAAAGTCCATCAGTCAGACCTTAGGCCTCTTGTTAAGCGACATGTGGTGCGTTTTAATAGGTTGATTGGTCAATTGAAAAAATTATCTAGGAATGTTCAATATCTAAATAACAACATAAATAAAAAGAATTTCAGATAAGCTTTCTCTAGGTATTAAAAATTTTCAATGAATTTTACTCTAAATTTAATGAATGAATTTCTTTCTTATTTTTGTAATAATAAGTAAATTTCTTATTTTTATTTTAAAGAATTTCTTTAATTACTTTCATTTCTTTTGGAATTATAAATCAACTTGCTTATTATATACAATATATACATTGAAATAGGCGCCTCAGCCATTTTATATATAAACATTTAGATTTCTTATCAGAGCAGTGGCATCGGTAAAATAATTTCCTTGTAATTGTTGTTGTTATTTGGCGAGTTAAGACTTGATAAACTAATCAACAAAAAACATTAATAAGTTTTTATATTCAAAAATTATAAAAACAAAATAATAATACAAATAATCATACAAGTCATGGGACTCGAGCCTGCCAATAAAAAAATTTGCAAAAAAAAAAAAAATTCTTATCAAAATTTTAACATTTTTGCAAAAATTTCAGAACCTTTTACCTGACCTACACTTTGCAGTTAATAGGCAAATGCAAGCCCATATATGAGTCATATTATGATGAATTTATAATAGATCTTTTGTTATCTTTAGCTAAGGTCTTAGACTTTTATCACATTTCTATAGAGAGTTAGTCATTATTGGCGAACCTTAGTATTTATTTTGAATCTTTAATTGTAAATATGTCAAATATAGAAAGTCTTAAGTGACATTTTATAATTTCTTATCATGTCAGTTTTTTTTTTTTTTTGAATATAACAAAGTGATAACACTATTTGGACTTATATATTTAGGCCATTTCTCTTTATACAAAATCACCTGAACATAATATTTATTATGTATGTATGTTCTGGGGTGAATTTGAATATATTTTATTGATATATGGTTTTTTTATCTGAAATTTTAAATGTCATTTTTACGATGGCCGTTAGTTGATTGACATTTCGTTATTGACAATTAAACTTCAACTTGAGTTTTTGATTACAGTTAAATGACATTCTTATCTCAAGTTGTAATTGCAGTGATTTCTTGATATATGATCATCATTATGCAGTTTTTACTTTAATCTTAGAATCGACTTAGTGACAGGTAATAGCCAACGTAAAATGTATTTCCGTTTAGATGTTTTAAGCTTAGCTAGTTTATAGATCTCTTAATGAGAATCGTATTCTACAGCAAATCAGACATTGATTACAAATAAATAGGTCTGAGACAACCCAACCAGGAGCAGCTCACACTCAAATCAAGATTATTAAGCAATGAGCAAATATCCTCTCAGAAATAACTATTTATATTTAAAGTACTCTTGTTCTCAATAAACTCTGGACCAGTGATGTCTTAGAGACTAATATTTCTTTTATTCGCAAAATAATTTCTATTCGGAAGTACTTTTTTGAGACCTTAGAAGATCATAGAGCATAAACTCCATAGTAGTTTTGCCATCTAGATGGAGCATAAACAACATATTAGTTTTGCCATCTAGATTGGATGTAATACATCTGGATTATTTTCTATTGGTGGTATATATGTACATATGTATGTATCTCTGATCTCAGATAACTCTGATTGATGACTTACAAGTCGCCTTACTTGCTTTCAAAACATGATAAGAGAGAAAATTGGAACTTATTGATTGACATTTCTCAGTTCGGGAGGTCTTAACAATTCATCAACAAGTACCTCAGAATCATATGTAGGCTCCTCTGAACTAACATTATCAGCAACACGGATCTCTGAAACCTTAGCATAGAGGAACCCATACTATTACATATAAAACATAGGAAATGGTGGTGGATCAACCATGCTATCAGAAAAAGAAGCCTGATAGTACCATAAGGATGGAACTAGAGTGAAATCCTTAAGTTTCAAGAAGCCGAGGCCGACTGAAGAACCTTACCAAAGAAGAACCCATACCATTACATGTAGGACATAGGAAACGAAGGTAGATCAACTATACTATCAGAAGAAGAAACCTTAACTGATGATTTTACATTTAGACTTCATGGGACGTGGTAGTGATGGACATTTAACAGAAATCAATTGAAGTTATATTTTCGAGAACAAGAATATATACAAATGTATGTATATTACAAAGAATTCTCTCTTTAAAACTTTTAAAGTCTTAGTGGATCAACGGAAAATATATTTAATTATAAAACGTATACAAATTATCAATGGGTGTCCTAGTTTTTGTTGAAAGTTGTGCTGGGGAAAAAAGCATGAGTCGCTGAGTTGACAAGATCCAATTGTCTTGAGAACTTTTAGAATATGGGCTATTAAAGTCTTCAAACCCTTTTCCTTAAAGTATACCCCAAGTTTTCTTCTGTCTGGAGTATATTTGAAAGTCTGTAGATCATAAATTTTTAAATATTATCAAAGTCTTATTTATAATTTACAAACAAATAACTATTTGGGTGGGGGTAGCACCGATTATGACAGTTTAAAATTATCTTTGTAAATGTTTGTTACAATCTTGTATAGTTATTTTTTATAATTTCCTTTTAATGTTTACTATTATTAAACAATAATAGAGCTTTTCAATAACTCTATAAATAAGTAGTTGTTACAAATAACTAGAAAATGTATTTTATTACATTAACAGTATGCCAAAAAACCAGATAAAAGACCAAAACATAATAAATAGAACTAGAACACGTTCTCAGTAACCACCTTAAATAAAATTTTAGCAAATATATGCTAAAATAATCATGTAAGTCATAAATTAATTTACGAACAACTTGTGTCAGCTGAAACCTACAACAATGTTTACAACTTGGTAACACTTATGGTGGACTTGGTAACACAGACAAATCTATATACATTTGTATATATTATATATTTGGATTACATAGTAATTGTATTACGATTTTAGTTCTTTGTTTCAATTCATATTCTTGTTTTAAATATGAGCCATATATCAAACAACTAATCACAAAACTTACAGATAAGTAAAGCGGTTTAGTAATAGGTAATCCAAATATTTAAGGGTCTAGTGCAAAAGTTTGTTATATATATACAGACATTTTGAAAAGTTTTTTGCGATATAGGCTTTTATTGTTAAGCAATTGTCTGATTCCTTTATATCTTTAAATCATTCCGATTCCAATAACTGTTTTGATTTCAAGACCCCTTTCCCTATATTACAATCTAATGCCATTAATTTTTAAACTAAATATCTATATTCATAAATCTAATTTTTACTCACTTTAACTTCATTTTGGAAAGTATTTTTAAGCCCGTTTATTGCCAAAGATCACAAAGTTAAAATGTTATTTTCTGTTTAAATTAAGAATGTTTTTAACAGTTCTTTATATCGCCTCTTTCTTTTTTTAAATTGCTGAATTGTCTTTGAAATATTAGAGGATTTTTCGTATTTTTTATTTTATAAAAAATCACACTTTTTTAAAAACACTTCAATTGTTTATATTAAAACGGAAGTGGTTTTCTAGTCTAATCCTTTACACAACACACTTTTTATAACAGTTTTTTTGTTTATGTTTTTATTTATTGTTTATAAATTAATTTATAAATTATAATTTATTTCTTTTAATTTCTCCAGAAATTCTTTTATTTATATTTTTCTCAAGTTTTGTTCTTTTTTTTCTTGATATTTCACTTCTTTTAGATTCCGTTCTATTTTTCTTTTCTATTCGAACGAACGTCTTGTTAGTTAATAATATGATCCGTAACTGAAACGTTTTATCGGTTCAACGTTAACTTATAAAATGAATGTAGTTGATGTGGGTAATGAAACATATAAAATACATTTACAGTAGACCCGATCAATTATTATTATTATAACAGCAGAGTCATAGCAAAAAAACAAAAACAATTTCATTTTAACAACAATATCAGATAAGATTAAAGAACTCGGAACAGTCGGGCGGGCAGTCATAATTTAGAAGAAAAAAAATATAACAATTAGTTACTCGGTTTTTCGCACTATTGAGAAGAGAGAAAGAGAACTGTGTAAAAAAAATCGTACATTAATTTGTTGGTGTTAATTTGTTTCACTATATTTTTTTTGTTGGCTTTATCGTTTTATCAAAATTAGCAGGGTTGGGAGATATGAGACTTTACCAAATACATTTCGACTCCATTTTTGCCGCCTCAAGGCGAAACACCTAAAGTGAAAAAGAAGTCCTTTAAGCGATTTTTATACCCACCACATAAAAGTCCATTTTCTGGCTAAACTAAAGGCGCTAGGGCTAAAAGAAAATAAATCTGTGATCACTTAAATTTCAAAGATCGATTTTATGAGTGAAAACATAAAAGTCCATTTTCTGGCTAAACTAAAGGCGCTAGGGCAAAAACAAAGGAAATATGTGATCACTTAAATTTCCCAACAAAGATCGATTTTATGAGTGAAAACATAAAAGTCCATTTTCTGGCTAAACTAAAGGCGCTAGGGCAAAAACAAAGGAAATCTGTGATCACTTAAATTTCCCAACAAAAACCGAATTTTTGAGTGAAAACATAAAAGTCCATTTTCTGGCTAAACTAAAGGCGCTAGAGCAAAAAGAAAGAAAATCTGTGATCACTATTATTTCCCACCAAATGTCGATTGTTTGAGTGAAAACATAAAAGTTCATTTTCTGGCTAAACTAAAGGCGCTAGGGCAAAAAGAAAGGAAATCTGTGATCACTGTTATTTCCCGCCCAAAAATCGATTATTTGAGTGAAAACATAAAAGTTCATTTTCTGGCTAAACTAAAGGCGCTAGGGCAAAAACAAAGAAAATCTGTGATCACTTTAATTTCCCACTAAAAACGGAATTTTTGAGTGAAAACATAAAAGTAATTTTCTGGCTAAACTAAAGGCGCTAGGGCAAAAAGAAAGGAAATCTGTGATCACTATTATTTCCCGCCCAAAAATCGATTATTTGAGTGAAAACATAAAAGTTCATTTTCTGGCTAAACTAAAGGCGCTAGGGCAAAAACAGAGAAAATCTGTGATCACTTTAATTTTCCAACAAAAACCGAATTTTTGAGTGAAAACATAAAAGGAAATCTGTGATCACTATTTCTCACTAAAATTTGAATTTTTGAGTAAAAACTTAAAAGTCCATTTTCTGGCTAAACTAAAGGCGCTAGGGCAAAAACAAAGGAAATCTGTGATCACTTAAATTTCCCAACAAAAACCGAATTTTTGAGTGAAAACATAAAAGTCCATTTTCTGGCTAAACTAAAGGCGCTAGAGCAAAAAGAAAGAAAATCTGTGATCACTATTATTTCCCACCAAATGTCGATTGTTTGAGTGAAAACATAAAAGTTCATTTTCTGGCTAAACTAAAGGCGCTAGGGCAAAAAGAAAGGAAATCTGTGATCACTGTTATTTCCCGCCCAAAAATCGATTATTTGAGTGAAAACATAAAAGTCCATTTTCTGGCTAAACTAAAGGCGCTAGGGCTAAAAGAAAGAAAATCTGTGATCACTATTATTTCCCACTAAAAACCGAATTTTTGAGTCAAAACATAAAAGTCCATTTTCTGGCTAAACTAAAGGCGCTAGGGCAAAAAGAAAGGAAATCTGTGATCACTTAAATTTCCCACCAAAAACCGAATTTTTGAGGGAAAACATAAAGGTCATTTTCTGGCTAAACTAAAGACGCCAGGGCAAAAACTGTGATCATTATTATTTCCCACTAAAAACCGAATTTTTGAATGAAAACATAAAAGTCCATTTTCTGGCTAAACTAAGGGCGCTAGGGAAAAAACAAAGAAAATCTGTGATCACTTTATTTCCCAACAAAATCCGAATTTTTAAGTCAAAACATAAAAGTCCATTTTCTGGCTAAACTAAAGGCGCTAGGGCAAAAAGAAAGGAAATCTGTGATCACTATTATTTCCCATCAAAAACCGAATTTTTGAGTGAAAACATAAAAGTCCATTTTCTGGCTAAACTAAAGGCGCTAGGGCAAAAAGAAAGGAAATCTGTGATCACTATTAATTCCCATCAAAAACCGAATTTTTGAGTGAAAACATAAAAGTCCATTTTCTGGCTAAACTAAAGGCGCTAGGGCAAAAACAAAGGAAATCTGTGATCACTATTATTTCCCACCAAAAACCGAATTTTTGAGTGAAAACATAAAACTAAAGGCGCTAGGGCAAAAACAAAGAAAATCTGTGATCACTTTAATTTCCCAACAAAAACCGAATTTTTGAGTGAAAAAATAAAAGTCCATTTTCTGGATAAACTAAAGGCGCTAGAGCAAAAACAAAGGAAATCTGTGATCACTATTATTTCCCACCAAAACCCGAATTTTTGAGTGAAAAGATAAAAGTCCATTTTCTGGCTAAACTAAAGGCGCTAGGGCAAAAACAAAGAAAATCTGTGATCACTTAAATTTCCCAACAAAAACCGAATTTTTGAATGAAAACATAAAAGTCCATTTTCTGGCTAAACTAAAGGCGCTAGGGCAAAAAGAAAGAAAATCTGTGATCACTATTATTTCCCACTAAAATCCGAATTTTTAAGTAAAAACATAAAAGTCCATTTTCTGGCTAAACTAAAGGCGCTAGGGCAAAAACAAAGGAAATCTGTGATCACTATTATTTTCCACTAAAATCCGAATTTTTGAGTGAAAACATAAAAGTCCATTTTCTGGCTAAACTAAAGGCGCTAGGGCAAAAACAAAGAAAATCTGTAATCACTATTATTTCCCACCAAAAACCGAATTTTTGAGTGAAAACATAAAAGTCCATTTTCTGGCTAAACTAAAGGCGCTAGGGCAAAAAGAAAGGAAATCTGTGATCACTTTAATTTCCCACAAAAAACCGAATTTTTGAGTGAACACATAAAAGTCCATTTTCTGGCTAAACTAAAGGCGCTAGGGCAAAAACAAAGAAAATCTGTGATCACTTAAATTTCCCAGCAAAAACCGAAGTTTTGAGTGAAAACATAAAAGTCCATTTTCTGGCTAAACTAAAGGCGCTAGGGCAAAAAGAAAGAAAATCTGTGATCACTTTAATTTCCCATATAAAAGTCCATTTTCTGGCTAAACTAGAGGCGCTAGGGCAAAAATAAAGAAAATCTGTGATGACTTTAACTTCCCACCAAAAACCGAATTTTTGAGTGAAAACATAAAAGTCCATTTTCTAGCTAATCTAAAGGCGCTAGGGCAAAAAGAAAGGAAATCTGTGATCACTCCCACCAACAACCGAATTTTTGAGTGAAAACATAAAAGTCCATTTTCTGGCTAAACTAAAGGCGCTAGGGCAAAAACAAAGGAAATTTGTGATCACTTTAATTTCCCAACAAAAATCGATGTTTTGAGGAAAACATAAAAGTCCATTTTCTGGCTAAACTAAAGGCGCTAGGGCAAAAATAAAGAAAATCTGTGATCATTATTATTTCCCACCAAAAACCGAATTTTTGAATAAAAACAGAAAAGTCCATTTTCTGGCTAAACTAAAGGCGAATTTTTAAGTGAAAATATAAAAGTCCATTTTCTGGCTAAACTAAAGGAGATACGGCAAAAAGAAAGGAAATCTGTGATCACTTTAATTTCCCACCAAAAACCGAATTTTTGAGTGTAAACATAAAAGTCCATTTTCTGGCTAAACTAAAGGCGCTAGGGCAAAAAGAAAGGAAATCTGTGATCACTTAAATTTCCCACCTAGAACCGAATTTTTGACTGAAAACATAAAGTCCATTTTCTGGCGACAAAAATCGAGTATTTGAGTGAAAATATAAATGTCCATTTTCTTTCTAAACTAAAGGCGCTAGGTATAGTATTACTAAAATTTCTATTTACTGAAAACCCAATTAGTTCAGTTCTAGTTCAGGTCATGAAATGGATAGTTTACAAATATCTTAGAAATTTCAATATTATTTATAAATCTACTGAAAAATTCAATCTGGTTTTAACTGGGTTCTTTAACCAGCATATAATCGTCGTTTTTTTACTATTTTGAACATTAATTTATTGAATTAGTTTTGCCATTTAATGCTTAAGTACATACTTGTTTGCTTTTTTTCACGCGGGCCTCGGAAGTGTTTAATGCCAAAATCCGCATTTTTCAACTTTAAAGAGACATTTATTGCACACACATTTTCGTTTTCAAAACGTGACAGCTTTAATTAGCAAACACTATTATCTGTTTATATATCAAACTGTAAATAAATAGCAGATATAAAATTCAAAACATTTATGAACTTATCTGCACTAATACTGAATTTTTTTTCGGTGCTCCAAATTTTTAGGGGAAAGTCTACGAAGTGTGGTATTAAAAAGTGAAAGAGTTTGATAGAATAAAATTGGGAATCGTTAACGAATGTGGCATAAATTTTAAAAAGTTTCAAGAATTATTAACTGATGAAAGGTAGAATTACTTTATATCGGTATAAGCTACCATAAAGTCGGTTTTGACTTCTTGAATGAAATCAGATAATAATATATCTTTTGTTTTACGTGAAGTATGTTTCAACTTGTAGTTACTTGAATAAATATCTTATTAAATGTATTTTATATTTATTAATATTACTTTATTCGGGGAATAACATCTTGGTTAATAATCAAGAAACTCATTGTCTAATATTCAAAGTAATTAATGACCTCCTGATTCACATCTTTATAAATGTAAATATATAAATAGATATAGTGGTTTCACCATACGATACGCCGCAATTGAAAAAAGAGTATATACTAAGCCCTGCGACTTAATAAACCATTAATAATGAATAATTAAAAGTCATTACCTCCAAACACATTCACAAACTATAGAAATATCAAAGCCC